GGGAGCAAAGGAGAGGCACGGAGAAAGAAAGGGAGGTGCAGGGAGGGAGAAACCGGGCGTGGGGGGGCGGAAAATGAGGGGCAGGGCGGGGAGGAGGGAGAGGCAGGGAGGGGAGAAGCTGAGCACACGGAGGGGGGAAAGGTGGGGCAGGGAGGTGGGAAGCCAAGGGCAGTGGAGGAGGGTGGGGGGCAGGGAGAGGGGGGAGGTGGGGAGCGGAGAAAGGCGGCGAGAGGGGCAGGGAGGGGAGAAACCAAGCGTAGGGGGGCGAGAAACGAGGGGCAGGGTGCGGATGAGGAGGGGCAGGGAGTGGAGTGGGTTAGCGAGGGGAAGGAAGAGGCGTGCAGCAGAGGAGGGGAGGGGGAGGCGAAGGTAAACGAGGGGAGGGCACGGGCGGGGAGGAGCGAATGGCGAGCGGTGGGTAACGGCGAGGGGGGCAGGGAGGGTCAAAAGAGGCGGCGAGGGAGCGGGCACGCGGAGGGTAGGGGCGGGGGAGCGGATGGCATGAGGGGGCAGGGGGTGTGACTATGAAGGGGGGACCCGGGCAAGGGGTGTGTACCGGTCGGGGCACGGGATTGTCGTGGTACGATCATACCTCGGCTACTACGCCGGATCCCATCAGAACTCCGAAGCTAAGCGCCGGTGGGCGAGAGCAGTACTGGGCTGGGTGACCTCCCGGGAAGTCCTCGTGTTGTACCCATTTATGCCCCTTGCTCGGCACGTGCCGGGGAGGGGCAAGCGGGAAAAACAAAGGACGATTTTAGCGCGTCCGACTTTTTTATTTCCGTTTTTTTGCCCGAACAACGAGTCAGCGGGGTGGGGGGCCCCGGGGAGGCTTGCCCGCGCGAAGAAACGCCCCGTGCGCACCACCGTTGGGCGGTTGGAAGCCGCACACGGTCGCGGGGGTGGAGAGCGGAAACGGGCAGCCGGGGGAGGGTGGGGCGGTTGGACGGGAGTGGGGTGTACGGGGGGCAGGGGAGTTGAGGGGGCAAGGGGAGGGGCAGCAACGGGCAGGGGCTGGGCCAGCTGAGGGCAAGGAAAAGGGGCGGGCAGAGGGTGAGCAGAGGGGCGAGCGATGCAAGGGATGCACCAGAGGGGGGGAATCCAGTTGAACGGAGGTGAGAGGTGAGGGGGCGTGCGAGGGGGTGGAACAGGGGCAGGAGGGCAGAGAACGGGAGGATGTGGGTGGGGGGTGGGGGAGGGGAGATGTGTGTGTGTGTGTGTGTGCGAGAGAAAGAGAGAGAGGAGAGAGAGAGAGAGGGAGAGGGGGGGGGGGGAGTAAGGGTGGGAGGGGGGCTGGTGGTGGGGACGGGCTGATGGTGGTAAGAGGGCAGCAGGGATGGGAGAAGGGAGCGTAACGAGGGGAAAGCAAAGGGCAGGGGGGGAGGAAGGGAGGGGCAGGGAGGGAAGAGGGTGAACGTACAAAGAGGGGAAACGAGGGGCATGGATGGTAGGAAACAAGGGCAGGGGTGCGGGAAATCAAGGGCAGGGAGGGGAGAAGCAATGGGTGCGGGGAGAACAAGGGAGGGGCAGAGGGGGTACAAGGTGATCTCAGGGAGGGAAGAAACGTGGGGCAGGGAGGGGAGAAACCAAAGACAGGGGCATGGCAGGCGGGGGCAGGGAGGGAGCAAAGGAGAGGCACGGAGAAAGAAAGGGAGGTGCAGGGAGGGGAGAAACCGGGCGTGGGGGGGGCGGAAAATGAGGGGCAGGGCGGGGAGGAGGGAGAGGCAGGGAGGGGAGAAGCTGAGCACACGGAGGGGGGAAAGGTGGGGCAGGAGGTGGGAAGCCAAGGGCAAGTGGAGGAGAGTGGGGGGGCAGGGAGAGGGGGGAGGGTGGGGAGCGGAGAAAGGCGGCGAGGGGCAGGGAGGGGAGAAACCAAGCGTAGGGGGGCGAGAAACGAGGGGCAGGGTGCGGATTGAGGAGGGGCAGGGAGTGGAGTGGGTTAGCGAGGGGAAGGAAGAGGCGTGCAGCAGAGGAGGGGAGGGGGGAGGCGAAGGTAAACGAGGGGAGGGCACGGGCGGGGAGGAGCGAAATGGCGAGCGGTGGGTAACGGCGAGGGGGGCAGGGAGGGTCAAAAGAGGCGGCGACGGGAGCGGGCACGCGGAGGGTAGGGGCGGGGGGAGCGGATGGCATGAGGGGGCCAGGGGGTGTGACTATGAAGGGGGGACCCGGGCAAGGGGTGTGTACCGGTCGGGGCACGGGATTGTCGTGGTACGATCATACCTCGGCTACTACGCCGGATCCCATCAGAACTCCGAAGCTAAGCGCCGGTGGGCGAGAAGCAGTACTGGGCTGGGTGACCTCCCGGGAAGTCCTCGTGTTGTACCCATTTATGCCCCTTGCTCGGCACGTGCCGGGGAGGGGCAAGCGGGGAAAAACAAAGGACGATTTTAGCGCGTCCGACTTTTTTATTTCCGTTTTTTTTGCTCGCGTATTGCCCGAACAACGAGTCAGCGGGGTGGGGGGCCCCCGGGGAGGCTTGCCCGCGCGAAGAAAAGAAACGCCCCGTGCGCACCACCGTTGGGCGGTTGGAAGCCGCCACACGGTCGCGGGGGTGGAGAGCGGAAACGGGCAGCCGGGGAGGGTGGGGGCGGTTGGACGGGAGTGGGGTGTACGGGGGGCAGGGGAAGTTGAGGGGGCAAGGGGAGGGGCAGCAACGGGCAGGGGCTGGGCCAGCTGAGGGCAAGGAAAAGGGGCGGGCAGAGGGTGAGCAGAGGGGCGAGCGATGCAAGGGATGCACCAGAGGGGGGGAATCCAGTTGAACGGAGGTGAGAGGTGAGGGGCGTGCGAGGGGGTGGAACAGGGGCAGGGAGGGCAGAACGGGAGGATGTGGGTGGGGGGTGGGGGAGGGGAGTGTGTGTGTGTGTGTGTGTGCGAGAGGAAAGAGAGAGAGAGAGAGAGAGGAGAGGGAGAGGGGGGGGGGGGAGAAGGGTGGGAGGGGGGCTGGTGGTGGGGACGGGCTGATGGTGGTAAGAGGGCAGCAGGGATGGGGAGAAGGGAGCGTAACGAGGGGAAAGCAAAGGGCAGGGGGGGGAGGAAGGGAGGGGCAGGGAGGGAAGAGGGTGAACGTACAAAGAGGGGAAACGAGGGGCATGGATGGTAGGAAACAAGGGCAGGGGTGCGGGAAATCAAGGGCAGGGAGGGGAGAAGCAATGGGTGCGGGGAGAACAAGGGAGGGGCAGAGGGGGTACAAGGTGATCTCAGGGAGGGAAGAAACGTGGGGCAGGGAGGGGAGAAACCAAGACAGGGGCATGGGCAGGCGGGGGCAGGGAGGAGCAAAGGAGAGGCACGGAGAAAGAAAGGGAGGTGCAGGGAGGGGAGAAAACCGGGCGTGGGGGGGCGGAAAATGAGGGGCAGGGCGGGGAGGAGGGAGAGGCAGGGAGGGGAGAAGCTGAGCACACGGAGGGGGGAAAGGTGGGGCAGGGAGGTGGGAAGCCAAGGGCAAGTGGAGGAGAGTGGGGGGGGCAGGGAGAGGGGGGAGGTGGGGAGCGGAGAAAGGCGGCGAGGGGCAGGGAGGGGAGAAACCAAGCGTAGGGGGGCGAGAAACGAGGGGCAGGGTGCGGATTGAGGAGGGGCAGGGAGTGGAGTGGGTTAGCGAGGGGAAGGAAGAGGCGTGCAGCAGAGGAGGGGAGGGGGGAGGCGAAGGTAAACGAGGGGAGGGCACGGGCGGGGAGGAGCGAATGGCGAGCGGTGGGTAACGGCGAGGGGGGCAGGGAGGGTCAAAAGAGGCGGCGAGGGAGCGGGCACGCGGAGGGTAGGGGCGGGGGGAGCGGATGGCATGAGGGGGCAGGGGGTGTGACTATGAAGGGGGGACCCGAGCAAGGGGTGTGTACCGGTCGGGGCACGGGATTGTCGTGGTACGATCATACCTCGGCTACTACGCCGGATCCCATCAGAACTCCGAAGCTAAGCGCCGGTGGGCGAGAGCAGTACTGGGCTGGGTGACCTCCCGGGAAGTCCTCGTGTTGTACCCATTTATGCCCCTTGCTCGGCACGTGCCGGGGAGGGGCAAGCGGGAAAAACAAAGGACGATTTTAGCGCGTCCGACTTTTTTATTTCCGTTTTTTTTTGCCCGAACAACGAGTCAGCGGGGTGGGGGGCCCCCGGGGAGGCTTGCCCGCGCGAAGAAACGCCCCGTGCGCACCACCGTTGGGCGGTTGGAAGCCGCACACGGTCGCGGGGGTGGAGAGCGGAAACGGGCAGCCGGGGGAGGGTGGGGGCGGTTGGACGGGAGTGGGGTGTACGGGGGGCAGGGGAGTTGAGGGGGCAAGGGGAGGGGCAGCAACGGGCAGGGGCTGGGCCAGCTGAGGGCAAGGAAAAGGGGCGGGCAGAGGGTGAGCAGAGGGGCGAGCGATGCAAGGGATGCACCAGAGGGGGGGAATCCAGTTGAACGGAGGTGAGAGGTGAGGGGCGTGCGAGGGGGTGGAACAGGGGCAGGGAGGGGCAGAACGGGAGGATCGTGGGTGGGGGGTGGGGGAGGGGAGTGTGTGTGTGTGTGTGTGTGCGAGAGAAAGAGAGAGAGAGAGAGGAGAGAGAGGGAGAGGGGGGGGGGGGAGAAGGGTGGGAGGGGGGCTGGTGGTGGGGACGGGCTGATGGTGGTAAGAGGGCAGCAGGGATGGGGAGAAGGGAGCGTAACGAGGGGAAAGCAAAGGGCAGGGGGGGAGGAAGGGAGGGGCAGGGAGGGAAGAGGGTGAACGTACAAAGAGGGGAAACGAGGGGCATGGATGGTAGGAAACAAGGGCAGGGTGCGGGAAATCAAGGGCAGGGAGGGGAGAAGCAATGGGTGCGGGGAGAACAAGGGAGGGGCAGAGGGGGTACAAGGTGATCTCAGGGAGGGAAGAAACGTGGGGCAGGGAGGGGAGAAACCAAAGACAGGGGCATGGGCAGGCGGGGGGCAGGGAGGGAGCAAAGGAGAGGCACGGAGAAAGAAAGGGAGGTGCAGGGAGGGGAGAAACCGGGCGTGGGGGGGCGGAAAATGAGGGGCAGGGCGGGGAGGAGGGAGAGGCAGGGAGGGGAGAAGCTGAGCACACGGAGGGGGGAAAGGTGGGGCAGGGAGGTGGGAAGCCAAGGGCAAGTGGAGGAGAGTGGGGGGGCAGGGAGAGGGGGGAGGTGGGGAGCGGAGAAAGGCGGCGAGGGGCAGGGAGGGGAGAAACCAAGCGTAGGGGGGCGAGAAACGAGGGGCAGGGTGCGGATTGAGGAGGGGCAGGGAGTGGAGTGGGTTAGCGAGGGGAAGGAAGAGGCGTGCAGCAGAGGAGGGGAGGGGGGAGGCGAAGGTAAACGAGGGGAGGGCACGGGCGGGGAGGAGCGAATGGCGAGCGGTGGGTAACGGCGAGGGGGGCAGGGAGGGTCAAAAGAGGCGGCGAGGGAGGCGGGCACGCGGAGGGTAGGGGCGGGGGGAGCGGATGGCATGAGGGGGCAGGGGGTGTGACTATGAAGGGGGGACCCGGGCAAGGGGTGTGTACCGGTCGGGGCACGGGATTGTCGTGGTACGATCATACCTCGGCTACTACGCCGGATCCCATCAGAACTCCGAAGCTAAGCGCCGGTGGGCGAGAGCAGTACTGGGCTGGGTGACCTCCCGGGAAGTCCTCGTGTTGTACCCATTTATGCCCCTTGCTCGGCACGTGCCGGGGAGGGGCAAGCGGGAAAAACAAAGGACGATTTTAGCGCGTCCGACTTTTTTATTTCCGTTTTTTTTGCTCCGAACAACGAGTCAGCGGGGTGGGGGGCCCCCCGGGGAGGCTTGCCCCGCGCGAAGAAACGCCCCGTGCGCACCACCGTTGGGCGGTTGGAAGCCGCACACGGTCGCGGGGGTGGAGAGCGGAAACGGGCAGCCGGGGGAGGGTGGGGGCGGTTGGACGGGAGTGGGGTGTACGGGGGGCAGGGGAGTTGAGGGGGCAAGGGGAGGGGCAGCAACGGGCAGGGGCTGGGCCAGCTGAGGGCAAGGAAAAGGGGCGGGCAGAGGGTGAGCAGAGGGGCGAGCGATGCAAGGGATGCACCAGAGGGGGGGAATCCAGTTGAACGGAGGTGAGAGGTGAGGGGCGTGCGAGGGGGTGGAACAGGGGCAGGGAGGGGCAGAACGGGAGGATGTGGGTGGGGGGTGGGGGAGGGGAGTGTGTGTGTGTGTGTGTGTGCGAGAGAAAGAGAGAGAGAGAGAGAGAGAGAGGGAGAGGGGGGGGGGGAGAAGGGTGGGAGGGGGGCTGGTGGTGGGGACGGGCTGATGGTGGTAAGAGGGCAGCAGGGATGGGGAGAAGGGAGCGTAACGAGGGGAAAGCAAAGGGCAGGGGGGGAGGAAGGGAGGGGCAGGGAGGGAAGAGGGTGAACGTACAAAGAGGGGAAACGAGGGGCATGGATGGTAGGAAACAAGGGCAGGGGTGCGGGAAATCAAGGGCAGGGAGGGGAGAAGCAATGGGTGCGGGGAGAACAAGGGAGGGGCAGAGGGGGTACAAGGTGATCTCAGGGAGGGAAGAAACGTGGGGCAGGGAGGGGAGAAACCAAAGACAGGGGCATGGGCAGGCGGGGGCAGGGAGGGAGCAAAGGAGAGGCACGGAGAAAGAAAGGGAGGTGCAGGGAGGGGAGAAACCGGGCGTGGGGGGGCGGAAAATGAGGGGCAGGGCGGGGAGGAGGGAGAGGCAGGGAGGGGAGAAGCTGAGCACACGGAGGGGGGAAAGGTGGGGCAGGGAGGTGGGAAGCCAAGGGCAAGTGGAGGAGAGTGGGGGGGCAGGGAGAGGGGGGAGGTGGGGAGCGGAGAAAGGCGGCGAGGGGCAGGGAGGGGAGAAACCAAGCGTAGGGGGGCGAGAAACGAGGGGCAGGGTGCGGATTGAGGAGGGGCAGGGAGTGGAGTGGGTTAGCGAGGGAAGGAAAGAGGCGTGCAGCAGAGGAGGGGAGGGGGGAGGCGAAGGTAAACGAGGGGAGGGCACGGGCGGGGAGGAGCGAATGGCGAGCGGTGGGTAACGGCGAGGGGGGCAGGGAGGGTCAAAAGAGGCGGCGAGGGAGCGGGCACGCGGAGGGTAGGGGCGGGGGGAGCGGATGGCATGAGGGGGCAGGGGGTGTGACTATGAAGGGGGGACCCGGGCAAGGGGTGTGTACCGGTCGGGGCACGGGATTGTCGTGGTACGATCATACCTCGGCTACTACGCCGGATCCCATCAGAACTCCGAAGCTAAGCGCCGGTGGGCGAGAGCAGTACTGGGCTGGGTGACCTCCCGGGAAGTCCTCGTGTTGTACCCATTTATGCCCCTTGCTCGGCACGTGCCGGGGAGGGGCAAGCGGGAAAACAAAGGACGATTTTAGCGCGTCCGACTTTTTTATTTCCGTTTTTTTTGCCCGAACAACGAGTCAGCGGGGTGGGGGGCCCCCGGGGAGGCTTGCCCGCGCGAAGAAACGCCCCGTGCGCACCACCGTTGGGCGGTTGGAAGCCGCACACGGTCGCGGGGGTGGAGAGCGGAAACGGGCAGCCGGGGGAGGGTGGGGGCGGTTGGACGGGAGTGGGGTGTACGGGGGGCAGGGGAGTTGAGGGGGCAAGGGGAGGGGCAGCAACGGGCAGGGGCTGGGCCAGCTGAGGGCAAGGAAAAGGGGCGGGCAGAGGGTGAGCAGAGGGGCGAGCGATGCAAGGGATGCACCAGAGGGGGGGAATCCAGTTGAACGGAGGTGAGAGGTGAGGGGCGTGCGAGGGGGTGGAACAGGGGCAGGGAGGGGCAGAACGGGAGGATGTGGGTGGGGGGTGGGGGAGGGGAGTGTGTGTGTGTGTGTGTGTGCGAGAGAAAGAGAGAGAGAGAGAGAGAGAGAGGTGAGAGGGGGGGGGGGAGAAGGGTGGGAGGGGGGCTGGTGGTGGGGACGGGCTGATGGTGGTAAGAGGGCAGCAGGGATGGGGAGAAGGGAGCGTAACGAGGGGAAAGCAAAGGGCAGGGGGGGAGGAAGGGAGGGGCAGGGAGGGAAGAGGGTGAACGTACAAAGAGGGGAAACGAGGGGCATGGATGGTAGGAAACAAGGGCAGGGGTGCGGGAAATCAAGGGCAGGGAGGGGAGAAGCAATGGGTGCGGGGAGAACAAGGGAGGGGCAGAGGGGGTACAAGGTGATCTCAGGGAGGGAAGAAACGTGGGGCAGGGAGGGGAGAAACCAAAGACAGGGGCATGGGCAGGCGGGGGCAGGGAGGGAGCAAAGGAGAGGCACGGAGAAAGAAAGGGAGGTGCAGGGAGGGGAGAAACCGGGCGTGGGGGGGCGGAAAATGAGGGGCAGGGCGGGGAGGAGGGAGAGGCAGGGAGGGGAGAAGCTGAGCACACGGAGGGGGGAAAGGTGGGGCAGGGAGGTGGGAAGCCAAGGGCAAGTGGAGGAGAGTGGGGGGGCAGGGAGAGGGGGGAGGTGGGGAGCGGAGAAAGGCGGCGAGGGGCAGGGAGGGGAGAAACCAAGCGTAGGGGGGCGAGAAACGAGGGGCAGGGTGCGGATTGAGGAGGGGCAGGGAGTGGAGTGGGTTAGCGAGGGGAAGGAAGAGGCGTGCAGCAGAGGAGGGGAGGGGGGAGGCGAAGGTAAACGAGGGGAGGGCACGGGCGGGGAGGAGCGAATGGCGAGCGGTGGGTAACGGCGAGGGGGGCAGGGAGGGTCAAAAGAGGCGGCGAGGGAGCGGGCACGCGGAGGGTAGGGGCGGGGGGAGCGGATGGCATGAGGGGGCAGGGGGTGTGACTATGAAGGGGGGACCCGGGCAAGGGGTTGTGTACCGGTCGGGGCACGGGATTGTCGTGGTACGATCATACCTCGGCTACTACGCCGGATCCCATCAGAACTCCGAAGCTAAGCGCCGGTGGGCGAGAGCAGTACTGGGCTGGGTGACCTCCCGGGAAGTCCTCGTGTTGTACCCATTTATGCCCCTTGCTCGGCACGTGCCGGGGAGGGGCAAGCGGGAAAAACAAAGGACGATTTTAGCGCGTCCGACTTTTTTATTTCCGTTTTTTTGCCCGAACAACGAGTCAGCGGGGTGGGGGGCCCCCGGGGAGGCTTGCCCGCGCGAAGAAACGCCCCGTGCGCACCACCGTTGGGCGGTTGGAAGCCGCACACGGTCGCGGGGGTGGAGAGCGGAAACGGGCAGCCGGGGGAGGGTGGGGGCGGTTGGACGGGAGTGGGGTGTACGGGGGGCAGGGGAGTTGAGGGGGCAAGGGGAGGGGCAGCAACGGGCAGGGGCTGGGCCAGCTGAGGGCAAGGAAAAGGGGCGGGCAGAGGGTGAGCAGAGGGGCGAGCGATGCAAGGGATGCACCAGAGGGGGGGAATCCAGTTGAACGGAGGTGAGAGGTGAGGGGCGTGCGAGGGGGTGGAACAGGGGCAGGGAGGGGCAGAACGGGAGGATGTGGGTGGGGGGGTGGGGGAGGGGAGTGTGTGTGTGTGTGTGTGTGCGAGAGAAAGAGAGAGAGAGAGAGAGAGAGAGGGAGAGGGGGGGGGGGAGAAGGGTGGGAGGGGGGCTGGTGGTGGGGACGGGCTGATGGTGGTAAGAGGGCAGCAGGGATGGGGAGAAGGGAGCGTAACGAGGGGAAAGCAAAGGGCAGGGGGGGAGGAAGGGAGGGGCAGGGAGGGAAGAGGGTGAACGTACAAAGAGGGGAAACGAGGGGCATGGATGGTAGGAAACAAGGGCAGGGGTGCGGGAAATCAAGGGCAGGGAGGGGAGAAGCAATGGGTGCGGGGAGAACAAGGGAGGGGCAGAGGGGGTACAAGGTGATCTCAGGGAGGGAAGAAACGTGGGGCAGGGAGGGGAGAAACCAAAGACAGGGGCATGGGCAGGCGGGGGCAGGGAGGGAGCAAAGGAGAGGCACGGAGAAAGAAAGGGAGGTGCAGGGAGGGGAGAAACCGGGCGTGGGGGGGCGGAAAATGAGGGGCAGGGCGGGGAGGAGGGAGAGGCAGGGAGGGGAGAAGCTGAGCACACGGAGGGGGGAAAGGTGGGGCAGGGAGGTGGGAAGCCAAGGGCAAGTGGAGGAGAGTGGGGGGGCAGGGAGAGGGGGGAGGTGGGGAGCGGAGAAAGGCGGCGAGGGGCAGGGAGGGGAGAAACCAAGCGTAGGGGGGCGAGAAACGAGGGGCAGGGTGCGGATTGAGGAGGGGCAGGGAGTGGAGTGGGTTAGCGAGGGGAAGGAAGAGGCGTGCAGCAGAGGAGGGGAGGGGGGAGGCGAAGGTAAACGAGGGGAGGGCACGGGCGGGGAGGAGCGAATGGCGAGCGGTGGGTAACGGCGAGGGGGGCAGGGAGGGTCAAAAGAGGCGGCGAGGGAGCGGGCACGCGGAGGGTAGGGGCGGGGGGAGCGGATGGCATGAGGGGGCAGGGGGTGTGACTATGAAGGGGGGACCCGGGCAAGGGGTGTGTACCGGTCGGGGCACGGGATTGTCGTGGTACGATCATACCTCGGCTACTACGCCGGATCCCATCAGAACTCCGAAGCTAAGCGCCGGTGGGCGAGAGCAGTACTGGGCTGGGTGACCTCCCGGGAAGTCCTCGTGTTGTACCCATTTATGCCCCTTGCTCGGCACGTGCCGGGGAGGGGCAAGCGGGAAAAACAAAGGACGATTTTAGCGCGTCCGACTTTTTTATTTCCGTTTTTTTGCCCGAACAACGAGTCAGCGGGGTGGGGGGCCCCCGGGGAGGCTTGCCCGCGCGAAGAAACGCCCCGTGCGCACCACCGTTGGGCGGTTGGAAGCCGCACACGGTCGCGGGGGTGGAGAGCGGAAACGGGCAGCCGGGGGAGGGTGGGGGCGGTTGGACGGGAGTGGGGTGTACGGGGGGCAGGGGAGTTGAGGGGGCAAGGGGAGGGGCAGCAACGGGCAGGGGCTGGGCCAGCTGAGGGCAAGGAAAAGGGGCGGGCAGAGGGTGAGCAGAGGGGCGAGCGATGCAAGGGATGCACCAGAGGGGGGGAATCCAGTTGAACGGAGGTGAGAGGTGAGGGGCGTGCGAGGGGGTGGAACAGGGGCAGGGAGGGGCAGAACGGGAGGATGTGGGTGGGGGGTGGGGGAGGGGAGTGTGTGTGTGTGTGTGTGTGCGAGAGAAAGAGAGAGAGAGAGAGAGAGAGAGGGAGAGGGGGGGGGGGAGAAGGGTGGGAGGGGGGCTGGTGGTGGGGACGGGCTGATGGTGGTAAGAGGGCAGCAGGGATGGGGAGAAGGGAGCGTAACGAGGGGAAAGCAAAGGGCAGGGGGGGAGGAAGGGAGGGGCAGGGAGGGAAGAGGGTGAACGTACAAAGAGGGGAAACGAGGGGCATGGATGGTAGGAAACAAGGGCAGGGGTGCGGGAAATCAAGGGCAGGGAGGGGAGAAGCAATGGGTGCGGGGAGAACAAGGGAGGGGCAGAGGGGGTACAAGGTGATCTCAGGGAGGGAAGAAACGTGGGGCAGGGAGGGGAGAAACCAAAGACAGGGGCATGGGCAGGCGGGGGCAGGGAGGGAGCAAAGGAGAGGCACGGAGAAAGAAAGGGAGGTGCAGGGAGGGGAGAAACCGGGCGTGGGGGGGCGGAAAATGAGGGGCAGGGCGGGGAGGAGGGAGAGGCAGGGAGGGGAGAAGCTGAGCACACGGAGGGGGGAAAGGTGGGGCAGGGAGGTGGGAAGCCAAGGGCAAGTGGAGGAGAGTGGGGGGGCAGGGAGAGGGGGGAGGTGGGGAGCGGAGAAAGGCGGCGAGGGGCAGGGAGGGGAGAAACCAAGCGTAGGGGGGCGAGAAACGAGGGGCAGGGTGCGGATTGAGGAGGGGCAGGGAGTGGAGTGGGTTAGCGAGGGGAAGGAAGAGGCGTGCAGCAGAGGAGGGGAGGGGGGAGGCGAAGGTAAACGAGGGGAGGGCACGGGCGGGGAGGAGCGAATGGCGAGCGGTGGGTAACGGCGAGGGGGGCAGGGAGGGTCAAAAGAGGCGGCGAGGGAGCGGGCACGCGGAGGGTAGGGGCGGGGGGAGCGGATGGCATGAGGGGGCAGGGGGTGTGACTATGAAGGGGGGACCCGGGCAAGGGGTGTGTACCGGTCGGGGCACGGGATTGTCGTGGTACGATCATACCTCGGCTACTACGCCGGATCCCATCAGAACTCCGAAGCTAAGCGCCGGTGGGCGAGAGCAGTACTGGGCTGGGTGACCTCCCGGGAAGTCCTCGTGTTGTACCCATTTATGCCCCTTGCTCGGCACGTGCCGGGGAGGGGCAAGCGGGAAAAACAAAGGACGATTTTAGCGCGTCCGACTTTTTTATTTCCGTTTTTTTGCTCCGAACAACGAGTCAGCGGGGTGGGGGGCCCCCGGGGAGGCTTGCCCGCGCGAAGAAACGCCCCGTGCGCACCACCGTTGGGCGGTTGGAAGCCGCACACGGTCGCGGGGGTGGAGAGCGGAAACGGGCAGCCGGGGGAGGGTGGGGGCGGTTGGACGGGAGTGGGGTGTACGGGGGGCAGGGGAGTTGAGGGGGCAAGGGGAGGGGCAGCAACGGGCAGGGGCTGGGCCAGCTGAGGGCAAGGAAAAGGGGCGGGCAGAGGGTGAGCAGAGGGGCGAGCGATGCAAGGGATGCACCAGAGGGGGGGAATCCAGTTGAACGGAGGTGAGAGGTGAGGGGCGTGCGAGGGGGTGGAACAGGGGCAGGGAGGGGCAGAACGGGAGGATGTGGGTGGGGGGTGGGGGAGGGGAGTGTGTGTGTGTGTGTGTGTGCGAGAGAAAGAGAGAGAGAGAGAGAGAGAGAGAGGGAGAGGGGGGGGGGGGAGAAGGGTGGGAGGGGGGCTGGTGGTGGGGACGGGCTGATGGTGGTAAGAGGGCAGCAGGGATGGGGAGAAGGGAGCGTAACGAGGGGAAAGCAAAGGGCAGGGGGGGAGGAAGGGAGGGGCAGGGAGGGAAGAGGGTGAACGTACAAAGAGGGGAAACGAGGGGCATGGATGGTAGGAAACAAGGGCAGGGGTGCGGGAAATCAAGGGCAGGGAGGGGAGAAGCAATGGGTGCGGGGAGAACAAGGGAGGGGCAGAGGGGGTACAAGGTGATCTCAGGGAGGGAAGAAACGTGGGGCAGGGAGGGGAGAAACCAAAGACAGGGGCATGGGCAGGCGGGGGGCAGGGAGGGAGCAAAGGAGAGGCACGGAGAAAGAAAGGGAGGTGCAGGGAGGGGAGAAACCGGGCGTGGGGGGGCGGAAAATGAGGGGCAGGGCGGGGAGGAGGGAGAGGCAGGGAGGGGAGAAGCTGAGCACACGGAGGGGGGAAAGGTGGGGCAGGGAGGTGGGAAGCCAAGGGCAAGTGGAGGAGAGTGGGGGGGCAGGGAGAGGGGGGAGGTGGGGAGCGGAGAAAGGCGGCGAGGGGCAGGGAGGGGAGAAACCAAGCGTAGGGGGGCGAGAAACGAGGGGCAGGGTGCGGATTGAGGAGGGGCAGGGAGTGGAGTGGGTTAGCGAGGGGAAGGAAGAGGCGTGCAGCAGAGGAGGGGAGGGGGGAGGCGAAGGTAAACGAGGGGAGGGCACGGGCGGGGAGGAGCGAATGGCGAGCGGTGGGTAACGGCGAGGGGGGCAGGGAGGGTCAAAAGAGGCGGCGAGGGAGCGGGCACGCGGAGGGTAGGGGCGGGGGGAGCGGATGGCATGAGGGGGCAGGGGGTGTGACTATGAAGGGGGGACCCGGGCAAGGGGTGTGTACCGGTCGGGGCACGGGATTGTCGTGGTACGATCATACCTCGGCTACTACGCCGGATCCCATCAGAACTCCGAAGCTAAGCGCCGGTGGGCGAGAGCAGTACTGGGCTGGGTGACCTCCCGGGAAGTCCTCGTGTTGTACCCATTTATGCCCCTTGCTCGGCACGTGCCGGGGAGGGGCAAGCGGGAAAAACAAAGGACGATTTTAGCGCGTCCGACTTTTTTATTTCCGTTTTTTTTTGCCCCGAACAACGAGTCAGCGGGGTGGGGGGCCCCCGGGGAGGCTTGCCCGCGCGAAGAAACGCCCCGTGCGCACCACCGTTGGGCGGTTGGAAGCCGCACACGGTCGCGGGGGTGGAGAGCGGAAACGGGCAGCCGGGGGAGGGTGGGGGCGGTTGGACGGGAGTGGGGTGTACGGGGGGCAGGGGAGTTGAGGGGGCAAGGGGAGGGGCAGCAACGGGCAGGGGCTGGGCCAGCTGAGGGCAAGGAAAAGGGGCGGGCAGAGGGTGAGCAGAGGGGCGAGCGATGCAAGGGATGCACCAGAGGGGGGGAATCCAGTTGAACGGAGGTGAGAGGTGAGGGGCGTGCGAGGGGGTGGAACAGGGGCAGGGAGGGGCAGAACGGGAGGATGTGGGTGGGGGGTGGGGGAGGGGAGTGTGTGTGTGTGTGTGTGTGTGCGAGAGAAAGAGAGAGAGAGAGAGAGAGAGAGGGAGAGGGGGGGGGGGAGAAGGGTGGGAGGGGGGCTGGTGGTGGGGACGGGCTGATGGTGGTAAGAGGGCAGCAGGGATGGGGAGAAGGGAGCGTAACGAGGGGAAAGCAAAGGGCAGGGGGGGAGGAAGGGAGGGGCAGGGAGGGAAGAGGGTGAACGTACAAAGAGGGGAAACGAGGGGCATGGATGGTAGGAAACAAGGGCAGGGGTGCGGGAAATCAAGGGCAGGGAGGGGAGAAGCAATGGGTGCGGGGAGAACAAGGGAGGGGCAGAGGGGGTACAAGGTGATCTCAGGGAGGGAAGAAACGTGGGGCAGGGAGGGGAGAAACCAAAGACAGGGGCATGGGCAGGCGGGGGCAGGGAGGGAGCAAAGGAGAGGCACGGAGAAAGAAAGGGAGGTGCAGGGAGGGGAGAAACCGGGCGTGGGGGGGCGGAAAATGAGGGGCAGGGCGGGGAGGAGGGAGAGGCAGGGAGGGGAGAAGCTGAGCACACGGAGGGGGGAAAGGTGGGGCAGGGAGGTGGGAAGCCAAGGGCAAGTGGAGGAGAGTGGGGGGGCAGGGAGAGGGGGGAGGTGGGGAGCGGAGAAAGGCGGCGAGGGGCAGGGAGGGGAGAAACCAAGCGTAGGGGGGCGAGAAACGAGGGGCAGGGTGCGGATTGAGGAGGGGCAGGGAGTGGAGTGGGTTAGCGAGGGGAAGGAAGAGGCGTGCAGCAGAGGAGGGGAGGGGGGAGGCGAAGGTAAACGAGGGGAGGGCACGGGCGGGGAGGAGCGAATGGCGAGCGGTGGGTAACGGCGAGGGGGGCAGGGAGGGTCAAAAGAGGCGGCGAGGGAGCGGGCACGCGGAGGGTAGGGGCGGGGGGAGCGGATGGCATGAGGGGGCAGGGGGTGTGACTATGAAGGGGGGACCCGGGCAAGGGGTGTGTACCGGTCGGGGCACGGGATTGTCGTGGTACGATCATACCTCGGCTACTACGCCGGATCCCATCAGAACTCCGAAGCTAAGCGCCGGTGGGCGAGAGCAGTACTGGGCTGGGTGACCTCCCGGGAAGTCCTCGTGTTGTACCCATTTATGCCCCTTGCTCGGCACGTGCCGGGGAGGGGCAAGCGGGAAAAACAAAGGACGATTTTAGCGCGTCCGACTTTTTTATTTCCGTTTTTTTTTGCCCCGAACAACGAGTCAGCGGGGTGGGGGGCCCCCGGGGAGGCTTGCCCGCGCGAAGAAACGCCCCGTGCGCACCACCGTTGGGCGGTTGGAAGCCGCACACGGTCGCGGGGGTGGAGAGCGGAAACGGGCAGCCGGGGGAGGGTGGGGGCGGTTGGACGGGAGTGGGGTGTACGGGGGGCAGGGGAGTTGAGGGGGCAAGGGGAGGGGCAGCAACGGGCAGGGGCTGGGCCAGCTGAGGGCAAGGAAAAGGGGCGGGCAGAGGGTGAGCAGAGGGGCGAGCGATGCAAGGGATGCACCAGAGGGGGGGAATCCAGTTGAACGGAGGTGAGAGGTGAGGGGCGTGCGAGGGGGTGGAACAGGGGCAGGGAGGGGCAGAACGGGAGGATGTGGGTGGGGGGTGGGGGAGGGGAGTGTGTGTGTGTGTGTGTGTGCGAGAGAAAGAGAGAGAGAGAGAGAGAGAGAGAGGGAGAGGGGGGGGGGGGAGAAGGGTGGGAGGGGGGCTGGTGGTGGGGACGGGCTGATGGTGGTAAGAGGGCAGCAGGGATGGGGAGAAGGGAGCGTAACGAGGGGAAAGCAAAGGGCAGGGGGGGAGGAAGGGAGGGGCAGGGAGGGAAGAGGGTGAACGTACAAAGAGGGGAAACGAGGGGCATGGATGGTAGGAAACAAGGGCAGGGGTGCGGGAAATCAAGGGCAGGGAGGGGAGAAGCAATGGGTGCGGGGAGAACAAGGGAGGGGCAGAGGGGGTACAAGGTGATCTCAGGGAGGGAAGAAACGTGGGGCAGGGAGGGGAGAAACCAAAGACAGGGGCATGGGCAGGCGGGGGCAGGGAGGGAGCAAAGGAGAGGCACGGAGAAAGAAAGGGAGGTGCAGGGAGGGGAGAAACCGGGCGTGGGGGGGCGGAAAATGAGGGGCAGGGCGGGGAGGAGGGAGAGGCAGGGAGGGGAGAAGCTGAGCACACGGAGGGGGGAAAGGTGGGGCAGGGAGGTGGGAAGCCAAGGGCAAGTGGAGGAGAGTGGGGGGGCAGGGAGAGGGGGGAGGTGGGGAGCGGAGAAAGGCGGCGAGGGGCAGGGAGGGGAGAAACCAAGCGTAGGGGGGCGAGAAACGAGGGGCAGGGTGCGGATTGAGGAGGGGCAGGGAGTGGAGTGGGTTAGCGAGGGGAAGGAAGAGGCGTGCAGCAGAGGAGGGGAGGGGGGAGGCGAAGGTAAACGAGGGGAGGGCACGGGCGGGGAGGAGCGAATGGCGAGCGGTGGGTAACGGCGAGGGGGGCAGGGAGGGTCAAAAGAGGCGGCGAGGGAGCGGGCACGCGGAGGGTAGGGGCGGGGGGAGCGGATGGCATGAGGGGGCAGGGGGTGTGACTATGAAGGGGGGACCCGGGCAAGGGGTGTGTACCGGTCGGGGCACGGGATTGTCGTGGTACGATCATACCTCGGCTACTACGCCGGATCCCATCAGAACTCCGAAGCTAAGCGCCGGTGGGCGAGAGCAGTACTGGGCTGGGTGACCTCCCGGGAAGTCCTCGTGTTGTACCCATTTATGCCCCTTGCTCGGCACGTGCCGGGGAGGGGCAAGCGGGAAAAACAAAGGACGATTTTAGCGCGTCCGACTTTTTTATTTCCGTTTTTTTTGCCCGAACAACGAGTCAGCGGGGTGGGGGGCCCCCGGGGAGGCTTGCCCGCGCGAAGAAACGCCCCGTGCGCACCACCGTTGGGCGGTTGGAAGCCGCACACGGTCGCGGGGGTGGAGAGCGGAAACGGGCAGCCGGGGGAGGGTGGGGGCGGTTGGACGGGAGTGGGGTGTACGGGGGGCAGGGGAGTTGAGGGGGCAAGGGGAGGGGCAGCAACGGGCAGGGGCTGGGCCAGCTGAGGGCAAGGAAAAGGGGCGGGCAGAGGGTGAGCAGAGGGGCGAGCGATGCAAGGGATGCACCAGAGGGGGGGAATCCAGTTGAACGGAGGTGAGAGGTGAGGGGCGTGCGAGGGGGTGGAACAGGGGCAGGGAGGGGCAGAACGGGAGGATGTGGGTGGGGGGTGGGGGAGGGGAGTGTGTGTGTGTGTGTGTGTGCGAGAGAAAGAGAGAGAGAGAGAGAGAGAGAGAGGGAGAGGGGGGGGGGGAGAAGGGTGGGAGGGGGGCTGGTGGTGGGGACGGGCTGATGGTGGTAAGAGGGCAGCAGGGATGGGGAGAAGGGAGCGTAACGAGGGGAAAGCAAAGGGCAGGGGGGAGGAAGGGAGGGGCAGGGAGGGAAGAGGGTGAACGTACAAAGAGGGGAAACGAGGGGCATGGATGGTAGGAAACAAGGGCAGGGGTGCGGGAAATCAAGGGCAGGGAGGGGAGAAGCAATGGGTGCGGGGAGAACAAGGGAGGGGCAGAGGGGGTACAAGGTGATCTCAGGGAGGGAAGAAACGTGGGGCAGGGAGGGGAGAAACCAAAGACAGGGGCATGGGCAGGCGGGGGCAGGGAGGGAGCAAAGGAGAGGCACGGAGAAAGAAAGGGAGGTGCAGGGAGGGGAGAAACCGGGCGTGGGGGGGCGGAAAATGAGGGGCAGGGCGGGGAGGAGGGAGAGGCAGGGAGGGGAGAAGCTGAGCACACGGAGGGGGGAAAGGTGGGGCAGGGAGGTGGGAAGCCAAGGGCAAGTGGAGGAGAGTGGGGGGGCAGGGAGAGGGGGGAGGTGGGGAGCGGAGAAAGGCGGCGAGGGGCAGGGAGGGGAGAAACCAAGCGTAGGGGGGCGAGAAACGAGGGGCAGGGTGCGGATTGAGGAGGGGCAGGGAGTGGAGTGGGTTAGCGAGGGGAAGGAAGAGGCGTGCAGCAGAGGAGGGGAGGGGGGAGGCGAAGGTAAACGAGGGGAGGGCACGGGCGGGGAGGAGCGAATGGCGAGCGGTGGGTAACGGCGAGGGGGGCAGGGAGGGTCAAAAGAGGCGGCGAGGGAGCGGGCACGCGGAGGGTAGGGGCGGGGGGAGCGGATGGCATGAGGGGGCAGGGGGTGTGACTATGAAGGGGGGACCCGGGCAAGGGGTGTGTACCGGTCGGGGCACGGGATTGTCGTGGTACGATCATACCTCGGCTACTACGCCGGATCCCATCAGAACTCCGAAGCTAAGCGCCGGTGGGCGAGAGCAGTACTGGGCTGGGTGACCTCCCGGGAAGTCCTCGTGTTGTACCCATTTATGCCCCTTGCTCGGCACGTGCCGGGGAGGGGCAAGCGGGAAAAACAAAGGACGATTTTAGCGCGTCCGACTTTTTTATTTCCGTTTTTTTGCCCGAACAACGAGTCAGCGGGGTGGGGGGCCCCCGGGGAGGCTTGCCCGCGCGAAGAAACGCCCCGTGCGCACCACCGTTGGGCGGTTGGAAGCCGCACACGGTCGCGGGGGTGGAGAGCGGAAACGGGCAGCCGGGGGAGGGTGGGGGCGGTTGGACGGGAGTGGGGTGTACGGGGGGCAGGGGAGTTGAGGGGGCAAGGGGAGGGGCAGCAACGGGCAGGGGCTGGGCCAGCTGAGGGCAAGGAAAAGGGGCGGGCAGAGGGTGAGCAGAGGGGCGAGCGATGCAAGGGATGCACCAGAGGGGGGGAATCCAGTTGAACGGAGGTGAGAGGTGAGGGGCGTGCGAGGGGGTGGAACAGGGGCAGGGAGGGGCAGAACGGGAGGATGTGGGTGGGGGGTGGGGGAGGGGAGTGTGTGTGTGTGTGTGTGTGCGAGAGAAAGAGAGAGAGAGAGAGAGAGAGAGGGAGAGGGGGGGGGGGGAGAAGGGTGGGAGGGGGGCTGGTGGTGGGGACGGGCTGATGGTGGTAAGAGGGCAGCAGGGATGGGGAGAAGGGAGCGTAACGAGGGGAAAGCAAAGGGCAGGGGGGGAGGAAGGGAGGGGCAGGGAGGGAAGAGGGTGAACGTACAAAGAGGGGAAACGAGGGGCATGGATGGTAGGAAACAAGGGCAGGGGTGCGGGAAATCAAGGGCAGGGAGGGGAGAAGCAATGGGTGCGGGGAGAACAAGGGAGGGGCAGAGGGGGTACAAGGTGATCTCAGGGAGGGAAGAAACGTGGGGCAGGGAGGGGAGAAACCAAAGACAGGGGCATGGGCAGGCGGGGGGCAGGGAGGGAGCAAAGGAGAGGCACGGAGAAAGAAAGGGAGGTGCAGGGAGGGGAGAAACCGGGCGTGGGGGGGCGGAAAATGAGGGGCAGGGCGGGGAGGAGGGAGAGGCAGGGAGGGGAGAAGCTGAGCACACGGAGGGGGGAAAGGTGGGGCAGGGAGGTGGGAAGCCAAGGGCAAGTGGAGGAGAGTGGGGGGGCAGGGAGAGGGGGGAGGTGGGGAGCGGAGAAAGGCGGCGAGGGGCAGGGAGGGGAGAAACCAAGCGTAGGGGGGCGAGAAACGAGGGGCAGGGTGCGGATTGAGGAGGGGCAGGGAGTGGAGTGGGTTAGCGAGGGGAAGGAAGAGGCGTGCAGCAGAGGAGGGGAGGGGGGAGGCGAAGGTAAACGAGGGGAGGGCACGGGCGGGGAGGAGCGAATGGCGAGCGGTGGGTAACGGCGAGGGGGGCAGGGAGGGTCAAAAGAGGCGGCGAGGGAGCGGGCACGCGGAGGGTAGGGGCGGGGGGAGCGGATGGCATGAGGGGGCAGGGGGTGTGACTATGAAGGGGGGACCCGGGCAAGGGGTGTGTACCGGTCGGGGCACGGGATTGTCGTGGTACGATCATACCTCGGCTACTACGCCGGATCCCATCAGAACTCCGAAGCTAAGCGCCGGTGGGCGAGAGCAGTACTGGGCTGGGTGACCTCCCGGGAAGTCCTCGTGTTGTACCCATTTATGCCCCTTGCTCGGCACGTGCCGGGGAGGGGCAAGCGGGAAAAACAAAGGACGATTTTAGCGCGTCCGACTTTTTTATTTCCGTTTTTTTTGCCCGAACAACGAGTCAGCGGGGTGGGGGGCCCCCGGGGAGGCTTGCCCGCGCGAAGAAACGCCCCGTGCGCACCACCGTTGGGCGGTTGGAAGCCGCACACGGTCGCGGGGGTGGAGAGCGGAAACGGGCAGCCGGGGGAGGGTGGGGGCGGTTGGACGGGAGTGGGGTGTACGGGGGGCAGGGGAGTTGAGGGGGCAAGGGGAGGGGCAGCAACGGGCAGGGGCTGGGCCAGCTGAGGGCAAGGAAAAGGGGCGGGCAGAGGGTGAGCAGAGGGGCGAGCGATGCAAGGGATGCACCAGAGGGGGGGAATCCAGTTGAACGGAGGTGAGAGGTGAGGGGCGTGCGAGGGGGTGGAACAGGGGCAGGGAGGGGCAGAACGGGAGGATGTGGGTGGGGGGTGGGGGAGGGGAGTGTGTGTGTGTGTGTGTGTGCGAGAGAAAGAGAGAGAGAGAGAGAGAGAGAGGGAGAGGGGGGGGGGGAGAAGGGTGGGAGGGGGGCTGGTGGTGGGGACGGGCTGATGGTGGTAAGAGGGCAGCAGGGATGGGGAGAAGGGAGCGTAACGAGGGGAAAGCAAAGGGCAGGGGGGGAGGAAGGGAGGGGCAGGGAGGGAAGAGGGTGAACGTACAAAGAGGGGAAACGAGGGGCATGGATGGTAGGAAACAAGGGCAGGGGTGCGGGAAATCAAGGGCAGGGAGGGGAGAAGCAATGGGTGCGGGGAGAACAAGGGAGGGGCAGAGGGGGTACAAGGTGATCTCAGGGAGGGAAGAAACGTGGGGCAGGGAGGGGAGAAACCAAAGACAGGGGCATGGGCAGGCGGGGGCAGGGAGGGAGCAAAGGAGAGGCACGGAGAAAGAAAGGGAGGTGCAGGGAGGGGAGAAACCGGGCGTGGGGGGGCGGAAAATGAGGGGCAGGGCGGGGAGGAGGGAGAGGCAGGGAGGGGAGAAGCTGAGCACACGGAGGGGGGAAAGGTGGGGCAGGGAGGTGGGAAGCCAAGGGCAAGTGGAGGAGAGTGGGGGGGCAGGGAGAGGGGGGAGGTGGGGAGCGGAGAAAGGCGGCGAGGGGCAGGGAGGGGAGAAACCAAGCGTAGGGGGGCGAGAAACGAGGGGCAGGGTGCGGATTGAGGAGGGGCAGGGAGTGGAGTGGGTTAGCGAGGGGAAGGAAGAGGCGTGCAGCAGAGGAGGGGAGGGGGGAGGCGAAGGTAAACGAGGGGAGGGCACGGGCGGGGAGGAGCGAATGGCGAGCGGTGGGTAACGGCGAGGGGGGCAGGGAGGGTCAAAAGAGGCGGCGAGGGAGCGGGCACGCGGAGGGTAGGGGCGGGGGGAGCGGATGGCATGAGGGGGCAGGGGGTGTGACTATGAAGGGGGGACCCGGGCAAGGGGTGTGTACCGGTCGGGGCACGGGATTGTCGTGGTACGATCATACCTCGGCTACTACGCCGGATCCCATCAGAACTCCGAAGCTAAGCGCCGGTGGGCGAGAGCAGTACTGGGCTGGGTGACCTCCCGGGAAGTCCTCGTGTTGTACCCATTTATGCCCCTTGCTCGGCACGTGCCGGGGAGGGGCAAGCGGGAAAAACAAAGGACGATTTTAGCGCGTCCGACTTTTTTATTTCCGTTTTTTTGCCCGAACAACGAGTCAGCGGGGTGGGGGGCCCCCGGGGAGGCTTGCCCGCGCGAAGAAACGCCCCGTGCGCACCACCGTTGGGCGGTTGGAAGCCGCACACGGTCGCGGGGGTGGAGAGCGGAAACGGGCAGCCGGGGGAGGGTGGGGGCGGTTGGACGGGAGTGGGGTGTACGGGGGGCAGGGGAGTTGAGGGGGCAAGGGGAGGGGCAGCAACGGGCAGGGGCTGGGCCAGCTGAGGGCAAGGAAAAGGGGCGGGCAGAGGGTGAGCAGAGGGGCGAGCGATGCAAGGGATGCACCAGAGGGGGGGAATCCAGTTGAACGGAGGTGAGAGGTGAGGGGCGTGCGAGGGGGTGGAACAGGGGCAGGGAGGGGCAGAACGGGAGGATGTGGGTGGGGGGTGGGGGAGGGGAGTGTGTGTGTGTGTGTGTGTGCGAGAGAAAGAGAGAGAGAGAGAGAGAGAGAGAGGGAGAGGGGGGGGGGGGAGAAGGGTGGGAGGGGGGCTGGTGGTGGGGACGGGCTGATGGTGGTAAGAGGGCAGCAGGGATGGGGAGAAGGGAGCGTAACGAGGGGAAAGCAAAGGGCAGGGGGGGAGGAAGGGAGGGGCAGGGAGGGAAGAGGGTGAACGTACAAAGAGGGGAAACGAGGGGCATGGATGGTAGGAAACAAGGGCAGGGGTGCGGGAAATCAAGGGCAGGGAGGGGAGAAGCAATGGGTGCGGGGAGAACAAGGGAGGGGCAGAGGGGGTACAAGGTGATCTCAGGGAGGGAAGAAACGTGGGGCAGGGAGGGGAGAAACCAAAGACAGGGGCATGGGCAGGCGGGGGCAGGGAGGGAGCAAAGGAGAGGCACGGAGAAAGAAAGGGAGGTGCAGGGAGGGGAGAAACCGGGCGTGGGGGGGCGGAAAATGAGGGGCAGGGCGGGGAGGAGGGAGAGGCAGGGAGGGGAGAAGCTGAGCACACGGAGGGGGGAAAGGTGGGGCAGGGAGGTGGGAAGCCAAGGGCAAGTGGAGGAGAGTGGGGGGGCAGGGAGAGGGGGGAGGTGGGGAGCGGAGAAAGGCGGCGAGGGGCAGGGAGGGGAGAAACCAAGCGTAGGGGGGCGAGAAACGAGGGGCAGGGTGCGGATTGAGGAGGGGCAGGGAGTGGAGTGGGTTAGCGAGGGGAAGGAAGAGGCGTGCAGCAGAGGAGGGGAGGGGGGAGGCGAAGGTAAACGAGGGGAGGGCACGGGCGGGGAGGAGCGAATGGCGAGCGGTGGGTAACGGCGAGGGGGGCAGGGAGGGTCAAAAGAGGCGGCGAGGGAGCGGGCACGCGGAGGGTAGGGGCGGGGGGAGCGGATGGCATGAGGGGGCAGGGGGTGTGACTATGAAGGGGGGACCCGGGCAAGGGGTGTGTACCGGTCGGGGCACGGGATTGTCGTGGTACGATCATACCTCGGCTACTACGCCGGATCCCATCAGAACTCCGAAGCTAAGCGCCGGTGGGCGAGAGCAGTACTGGGCTGGGTGACCTCCCGGGAAGTCCTCGTGTTGTACCCATTTATGCCCCTTGCTCGGCACGTGCCGGGGAGGGGCAAGCGGGAAAAACAAAGGACGATTTTAGCGCGTCCGACTTTTTTATTTCCGTTTTTTTTGCCCGAACAACGAGTCAGCGGGGTGGGGGGCCCCCGGGGAGGCTTGCCCGCGCGAAGAAACGCCCCGTGCGCACCACCGTTGGGCGGTTGGAAGCCGCACACGGTCGCGGGGGTGGAGAGCGGAAACGGGCAGCCGGGGGAGGGTGGGGGCGGTTGGACGGGAGTGGGGTGTACGGGGGGCAGGGGAGTTGAGGGGGCAAGGGGAGGGGCAGCAACGGGCAGGGGCTGGGCCAGCTGAGGGCAAGGAAAAGGGGCGGGCAGAGGGTGAGCAGAGGGGCGAGCGATGCAAGGGATGCACCAGAGGGGGGGAATCCAGTTGAACGGAGGTGAGAGGTGAGGGGCGTGCGAGGGGGTGGAACAGGGGCAGGGAGGGGCAGAACGGGAGGATGTGGGTGGGGGGTGGGGGAGGGGAGTGTGTGTGTGTGTGTGTGTGCGAGAGAAAGAGAGAGAGAGAGAGAGAGAGAGAGGGAGAGGGGGGGGGGGGAGAAGGGTGGGAGGGGGGCTGGTGGTGGGGACGGGCTGATGGTGGTAAGAGGGCAGCAGGGATGGGGAGAAGGGAGCGTAACGAGGGGAAAGCAAAGGGCAGGGGGGGAGGAAGGGAGGGGCAGGGAGGGAAGAGGGTGAACGTACAAAGAGGGGAAACGAGGGGCATGGATGGTAGGAAACAAGGGCAGGGGTGCGGGAAATCAAGGGCAGGGAGGGGAGAAGCAATGGGTGCGGGGAGAACAAGGGAGGGGCAGAGGGGGTACAAGGTGATCTCAGGGAGGGAAGAAACGTGGGGCAGGGAGGGGAGAAACCAAAGACAGGGGCATGGGCAGGCGGGGGCAGGGAGGGAGCAAAGGAGAGGCACGGAGAAAGAAAGGGAGGTGCAGGGAGGGGAGAAACCGGGCGTGGGGGGGCGGAAAATGAGGGGCAGGGCGGGGAGGAGGGAGAGGCAGGGAGGGGAGAAGCTGAGCACACGGAGGGGGGAAAGGTGGGGCAGGGAGGTGGGAAGCCAAGGGCAAGTGGAGGAGAGTGGGGGGGCAGGGAGAGGGGGGAGGTGGGGAGCGGAGAAAGGCGGCGAGGGGCAGGGAGGGGAGAAACCAAGCGTAGGGGGGCGAGAAACGAGGGGCAGGGTGCGGATTGAGGAGGGGCAGGGAGTGGAGTGGGTTAGCGAGGGGAAGGAAGAGGCGTGCAGCAGAGGAGGGGAGGGGGGAGGCGAAGGTAAACGAGGGGAGGGCACGGGCGGGGAGGAGCGAATGGCGAGCGGTGGGTAACGGCGAGGGGGGCAGGGAGGGTCAAAAGAGGCGGCGAGGGAGCGGGCACGCGGAGGGTAGGGGCGGGGGGAGCGGATGGCATGAGGGGGCAGGGGGTGTGACTATGAAGGGGGGACCCGGGCAAGGGGTGTGTACCGGTCGGGGCACGGGATTGTCGTGGTACGATCATACCTCGGCTACTACGCCGGATCCCATCAGAACTCCGAAGCTAAGCGCCGGTGGGCGAGAGCAGTACTGGGCTGGGTGACCTCCCGGGAAGTCCTCGTGTTGTACCCATTTATGCCCCTTGCTCGGCACGTGCCGGGGAGGGGCAAGCGGGAAAAACAAAGGACGATTTTAGCGCGTCCGACTTTTTTATTTCCGTTTTTTTTGCCCGAACAACGAGTCAGCGGGGTGGGGGGCCCCCGGGGAGGCTTGCCCGCGCGAAGAAACGCCCCGTGCGCACCACCGTTGGGCGGTTGGAAGCCGCACACGGTCGCGGGGGTGGAGAGCGGAAACGGGCAGCCGGGGGAGGGTGGGGGCGGTTGGACGGGAGTGGGGTGTACGGGGGGCAGGGGAGTTGAGGGGGCAAGGGGAGGGGCAGCAACGGGCAGGGGCTGGGCCAGCTGAGGGCAAGGAAAAGGGGCGGGCAGAGGGTGAGCAGAGGGGCGAGCGATGCAAGGGATGCACCAGAGGGGGGGAATCCAGTTGAACGGAGGTGAGAGGTGAGGGGCGTGCGAGGGGGTGGAACAGGGGCAGGGAGGGGCAGAACGGGAGGATGTGGGTGGGGGGTGGGGGAGGGGAGTGTGTGTGTGTGTGTGTGTGCGAGAGAAAGAGAGAGAGAGAGAGAGAGAGAGAGGGAGAGGGGGGGGGGGAGAAGGGTGGGAGGGGGGCTGGTGGTGGGGACGGGCTGATGGTGGTAAGAGGGCAGCAGGGATGGGGAGAAGGGAGCGTAACGAGGGGAAAGCAAAGGGCAGGGGGGGAGGAAGGGAGGGGCAGGGAGGGAAGAGGGTGAACGTACAAAGAGGGGAAACGAGGGGCATGGATGGTAGGAAACAAGGGCAGGGGTGCGGGAAATCAAGGGCAGGGAGGGGAGAAGCAATGGGTGCGGGGAGAACAAGGGAGGGGCAGAGGGGGTACAAGGTGATCTCAGGGAGGGAAGAAACGTGGGGCAGGGAGGGGAGAAACCAAAGACAGGGGCATGGGCAGGCGGGGGCAGGGAGGGAGCAAAGGAGAGGCACGGAGAAAGAAAGGGAGGTGCAGGGAGGGGAGAAACCGGGCGTGGGGGGGCGGAAAATGAGGGGCAGGGCGGGGAGGAGGGAGAGGCAGGGAGGGGAGAAGCTGAGCACACGGAGGGGGGAAAGGTGGGGCAGGGAGGTGGGAAGCCAAGGGCAAGTGGAGGAGAGTGGGGGGGCAGGGAGAGGGGGGAGGTGGGGAGCGGAGAAAGGCGGCGAGGGGCAGGGAGGGGAGAAACCAAGCGTAGGGGGGCGAGAAACGAGGGGCAGGGTGCGGATTGAGGAGGGGCAGGGAGTGGAGTGGGTTAGCGAGGGGAAGGAAGAGGCGTGCAGCAGAGGAGGGGAGGGGGGAGGCGAAGGTAAACGAGGGGAGGGCACGGGCGGGGAGGAGCGAATGGCGAGCGGTGGGTAACGGCGAGGGGGGCAGGGAGGGTCAAAAGAGGCGGCGAGGGAGCGGGCACGCGGAGGGTAGGGGCGGGGGGAGCGGATGGCATGAGGGGGCAGGGGGTGTGACTATGAAGGGGGGACCCGGGCAAGGGGTGTGTACCGGTCGGGGCACGGGATTGTCGTGGTACGATCATACCTCGGCTACTACGCCGGATCCCATCAGAACTCCGAAGCTAAGCGCCGGTGGGCGAGAGCAGTACTGGGCTGGGTGACCTCCCGGGAAGTCCTCGTGTTGTACCCATTTATGCCCCTTGCTCGGCACGTGCCGGGGAGGGGCAAGCGGGAAAAACAAAGGACGATTTTAGCGCGTCCGACTTTTTTATTTCCGTTTTTTTGCCCGAACAACGAGTCAGCGGGGTGGGGGGCCCCCGGGGAGGCTTGCCCGCGCGAAGAAACGCCCCGTGCGCACCACCGTTGGGCGGTTGGAAGCCGCACACGGTCGCGGGGGTGGAGAGCGGAAACGGGCAGCCGGGGGAGGGTGGGGGCGGTTGGACGGGAGTGGGGTGTACGGGGGGCAGGGGAGTTGAGGGGGCAAGGGGAGGGGCAGCAACGGGCAGGGGCTGGGCCAGCTGAGGGCAAGGAAAAGGGGCGGGCAGAGGGTGAGCAGAGGGGCGAGCGATGCAAGGGATGCACCAGAGGGGGGGAATCCAGTTGAACGGAGGTGAGAGGTGAGGGGCGTGCGAGGGGGTGGAACAGGGGCAGGGAGGGGCAGAACGGGAGGATGTGGGTGGGGGGTGGGGGAGGGGAGTGTGTGTGTGTGTGTGTGTGCGAGAGAAAGAGAGAGAGAGAGAGAGAGAGAGGGAGAGGGGGGGGGGGGAGAAGGGTGGGAGGGGGGCTGGTGGTGGGGACGGGCTGATGGTGGTAAGAGGGCAGCAGGGATGGGGAGAAGGGAGCGTAACGAGGGGAAAGCAAAGGGCAGGGGGGGAGGAAGGGAGGGGCAGGGAGGGAAGAGGGTGAACGTACAAAGAGGGGAAACGAGGGGCATGGATGGTAGGAAACAAGGGCAGGGGTGCGGGAAATCAAGGGCAGGGAGGGGAGAAGCAATGGGTGCGGGGAGAACAAGGGAGGGGCAGAGGGGGTACAAGGTGATCTCAGGGAGGGAAGAAACGTGGGGCAGGGAGGGGAGAAACCAAAGACAGGGGCATGGGCAGGCGGGGGCAGGGAGGGAGCAAAGGAGAGGCACGGAGAAAGAAAGGGAGGTGCAGGGAGGGGAGAAACCGGGCGTGGGGGGGCGGAAAATGAGGGGCAGGGCGGGGAGGAGGGAGAGGCAGGGAGGGGAGAAGCTGAGCACACGGAGGGGGGAAAGGTGGGGCAGGGAGGTGGGAAGCCAAGGGCAAGTGGAGGAGAGTGGGGGGGCAGGGAGAGGGGGGAGGTGGGGAGCGGAGAAAGGCGGCGAGGGGCAGGGAGGGGAGAAACCAAGCGTAGGGGGGCGAGAAACGAGGGGCAGGGTGCGGATTGAGGAGGGGCAGGGAGTGGAGTGGGTTAGCGAGGGGAAGGAAGAGGCGTGCAGCAGAGGAGGGGAGGGGGGAGGCGAAGGTAAACGAGGGGAGGGCACGGGCGGGGAGGAGCGAATGGCGAGCGGTGGGTAACGGCGAGGGGGGCAGGGAGGGTCAAAAGAGGCGGCGAGGGAGCGGGCACGCGGAGGGTAGGGGCGGGGGGAGCGGATGGCATGAGGGGGCAGGGGGTGTGACTATGAAGGGGGGACCCGGGCAAGGGGTGTGTACCGGTCGGGGCACGGGATTGTCGTGGTACGATCATACCTCGGCTACTACGCCGGATCCCATCAGAACTCCGAAGCTAAGCGCCGGTGGGCGAGAGCAGTACTGGGCTGGGTGACCTCCCGGGAAGTCCTCGTGTTGTACCCATTTATGCCCCTTGCTCGGCACGTGCCGGGGAGGGGCAAGCGGGAAAAACAAAGGACGATTTTAGCGCGTCCGACTTTTTTATTTCCGTTTTTTTTGCCCGAACAACGAGTCAGCGGGGTGGGGGGCCCCCGGGGAGGCTTGCCCGCGCGAAGAAACGCCCCGTGCGCACCACCGTTGGGCGGTTGGAAGCCGCACACGGTCGCGGGGGTGGAGAGCGGAAACGGGCAGCCGGGGGAGGGTGGGGGCGGTTGGACGGGAGTGGGGTGTACGGGGGGCAGGGGAGTTGAGGGGGCAAGGGGAGGGGCAGCAACGGGCAGGGGCTGGGCCAGCTGAGGGCAAGGAAAAGGGGCGGGCAGAGGGTGAGCAGAGGGGCGAGCGATGCAAGGGATGCACCAGAGGGGGGGAATCCAGTTGAACGGAGGTGAGAGGTGAGGGGCGTGCGAGGGGGTGGAACAGGGGCAGGGAGGGGCAGAACGGGAGGATGTGGGTGGGGGGTGGGGGAGGGGAGTGTGTGTGTGTGTGTGTGTGCGAGAGAAAGAGAGAGAGAGAGAGAGAGAGTGAGAGAGATAGAGAGAGAGAGAGAGAGAGGGAGAGGGGGGGGGGGAGAAGGGTGGGAGGGGGGCTGGTGGTGGGGACGGGCTGATGGTGGTAAGAGGGCAGCAGGGATGGGGAGAAGGGAGCGTAACGAGGGGAAAGCAAAGGGCAGGGGGGGAGAAACCAAGCATAGGGGGGCGAGAAACGAGGGGCAGGGTGCGGATTGAGGAGGGGCAGGGAGTGGAGTGGGTTAGCGAGGGGAAGGAAGAGGCGTGCAGCAGAGGAGGGGAGGGGGGAGGCGAAGGTAAACGAGGGGAGGGCACGGGCGGGGAGGAGCGAATGGCGAGCGGTGGGTAACGGCGAGGGGGGCAGGGAGGGTCAAAAGAGGCGGCGAGGGAGCGGGCACGCGGAGGGTAGGGGCGGGGGGAGCGGATGGCATGAGGGGGCAGGGGGTGTGACTATGAAGGGGGGACCCGGGCAAGGGGTGTGTACCGGTCGGGGCACGGGATTGTCGTGGTACGATCATACCTCGGCTACTACGCCGGATCCCATCAGAACTCCGAAGCTAAGCGCCGGTGGGCGAGAGCAGTACTGGGCTGGGTGACCTCCCGGGAAGTCCTCGTGTTGTACCCATTTATGCCCCTTGCTCGGCACGTGCCGGGGAGGGGCAAGCGGGAAAAACAAAGGACGATTTTAGCGCGTCCGACTTTTTTATTTCCGTTTTTTTTGCCCGAACAACGAGTCAGCGGGGTGGGGGGCCCCCGGGGAGGCTTGCCCGCGCGAAGAAACGCCCCGTGCGCACCACCGTTGGGCGGTTGGAAGCCGCACACGGTCGCGGGGGTGGAGAGCGGAAACGGGCAGCCGGGGGAGGGTGGGGGCGGTTGGACGGGAGTGGGGTGTACGGGGGGCAGGGGAGTTGAGGGGGCAAGGGGAGGGGCAGCAACGGGCAGGGGCTGGGCCAGCTGAGGGCAAGGAAAAGGGGCGGGCAGAGGGTGAGCAGAGGGGCGAGCGATGCAAGGGATGCACCAGAGGGGGGGAATCCAGTTGAACGGAGGTGAGAGGTGAGGGGCGTGCGAGGGGGTGGAACAGGGGCAGGGAGGGGCAGAACGGGAGGATGTGGGTGGGGGGTGGGGGAGGGGAGTGTGTGTGTGTGTGTGTGTGCGAGAGAAAGAGAGAGAGAGAGAGAGAGAGAGGGAGAGGGGGGGGGGGAGAAGGGTGGGAGGGGGGCTGGTGGTGGGGACGGGCTGATGGTGGTAAGAGGGCAGCAGGGATGGGGAGAAGGGAGCGTAACGAGGGGAAAGCAAAGGGCAGGGGGGGAGGAAGGGAGGGGCAGGGAGGGAAGAGGGTGAACGTACAAAGAGGGGAAACGAGGGGCATGGATGGTAGGAAACAAGGGCAGGGGTGCGGGAAATCAAGGGCAGGGAGGGGAGAAGCAATGGGTGCGGGGAGAACAAGGGAGGGGCAGAGGGGGTACAAGGTGATCTCAGGGAGGGAAGAAACGTGGGGCAGGGAGGGGAGAAACCAAAGACAGGGGCATGGGCAGGCGGGGGCAGGGAGGGAGCAAAGGAGAGGCACGGAGAAAGAAAGGGAGGTGCAGGGAGGGGAGAAACCGGGCGTGGGGGGGCGGAAAATGAGGGGCAGGGCGGGGAGGAGGGAGAGGCAGGGAGGGGAGAAGCTGAGCACACGGAGGGGGGAAAGGTGGGGCAGGGAGGTGGGAAGCCAAGGGCAAGTGGAGGAGAGTGGGGGGGCAGGGAGAGGGGGGAGGTGGGGAGCGGAGAAAGGCGGCGAGGGGCAGGGAGGGGAGAAACCAAGCGTAGGGGGGCGAGAAACGAGGGGCAGGGTGCGGATTGAGGAGGGGCAGGGAGTGGAGTGGGTTAGCGAGGGGAAGGAAGAGGCGTGCAGCAGAGGAGGGGAGGGGGGAGGCGAAGGTAAACGAGGGGAGGGCACGGGCGGGGAGGAGCGAATGGCGAGCGGTGGGTAACGGCGAGGGGGGCAGGGAGGGTCAAAAGAGGCGGCGAGGGAGCGGGCACGCGGAGGGTAGGGGCGGGGGGAGCGGATGGCATGAGGGGGCAGGGGGTGTGACTATGAAGGGGGGACCCGGGCAAGGGGTGTGTACCGGTCGGGGCACGGGATTGTCGTGGTACGATCATACCTCGGCTACTACGCCGGATCCCATCAGAACTCCGAAGCTAAGCGCCGGTGGGCGAGAGCAGTACTGGGCTGGGTGACCTCCCGGGAAGTCCTCGTGTTGTACCCATTTATGCCCCTTGCTCGGCACGTGCCGGGGAGGGGCAAGCGGGAAAAACAAAGGACGATTTTAGCGCGTCCGACTTTTTTATTTCCGTTTTTTTTTGCCCGAACAACGAGTCAGCGGGGTGGGGGGCCCCCGGGGAGGCTTGCCCGCGCGAAGAAACGCCCCGTGCGCACCACCGTTGGGCGGTTGGAAGCCGCACACGGTCGCGGGGGTGGAGAGCGGAAACGGGCAGCCGGGGGAGGGTGGGGGCGGTTGGACGGGAGTGGGGTGTACGGGGGGCAGGGGAGTTGAGGGGGCAAGGGGAGGGGCAGCAACGGGCAGGGGCTGGGCCAGCTGAGGGCAAGGAAAAGGGGCGGGCAGAGGGTGAGCAGAGGGGCGAGCGATGCAAGGGATGCACCAGAGGGGGGGAATCCAGTTGAACGGAGGTGAGAGGTGAGGGGCGTGCGAGGGGGTGGAACAGGGGCAGGGAGGGGCAGAACGGGAGGATGTGGGTGGGGGGTGGGGGAGGGGAGTGTGTGTGTGTGTGTGTGTGCGAGAGAAAGAGAGAGAGAGAGAGAGAGAGAGAGGGAGAGGGGGGGGGGGAGAAGGGTGGGAGGGGGGCTGGTGGTGGGGACGGGCTGATGGTGGTAAGAGGGCAGCAGGGATGGGGAGAAGGGAGCGTAACGAGGGGAAAGCAAAGGGCAGGGGGGGAGGAAGGGAGGGGCAGGGAGGGAAGAGGGTGAACGTACAAAGAGGGGAAACGAGGGGCATGGATGGTAGGAAACAAGGGCAGGGGTGCGGGAAATCAAGGGCAGGGAGGGGAGAAGCAATGGGTGCGGGGAGAACAAGGGAGGGGCAGAGGGGGTACAAGGTGATCTCAGGGAGGGAAGAAACGTGGGGCAGGGAGGGGAGAAACCAAAGACAGGGGCATGGGCAGGCGGGGGCAGGGAGGGAGCAAAGGAGAGGCACGGAGAAAGAAAGGGAGGTGCAGGGAGGGGAGAAACCGGGCGTGGGGGGGCGGAAAATGAGGGGCAGGGCGGGGAGGAGGGAGAGGCAGGGAGGGGAGAAGCTGAGCACACGGAGGGGGGAAAGGTGGGGCAGGGAGGTGGGAAGCCAAGGGCAAGTGGAGGAGAGTGGGGGGGCAGGGAGAGGGGGGAGGTGGGGAGCGGAGAAAGGCGGCGAGGGGCAGGGAGGGGAGAAACCAAGCGTAGGGGGGCGAGAAACGAGGGGCAGGGTGCGGATTGAGGAGGGGCAGGGAGTGGAGTGGGTTAGCGAGGGGAAGGAAGAGGCGTGCAGCAGAGGAGGGGAGGGGGGAGGCGAAGGTAAACGAGGGGAGGGCACGGGCGGGGAGGAGCGAATGGCGAGCGGTGGGTAACGGCGAGGGGGGCAGGGAGGGTCAAAAGAGGCGGCGAGGGAGCGGGCACGCGGAGGGTAGGGGCGGGGGGAGCGGATGGCATGAGGGGGCAGGGGGTGTGACTATGAAGGGGGGACCCGGGCAAGGGGTGTGTACCGGTCGGGGCACGGGATTGTCGTGGTACGATCATACCTCGGCTACTACGCCGGATCCCATCAGAACTCCGAAGCTAAGCGCCGGTGGGCGAGAGCAGTACTGGGCTGGGTGACCTCCCGGGAAGTCCTCGTGTTGTACCCATTTATGCCCCTTGCTCGGCACGTGCCGGGGAGGGGCAAGCGGGAAAAACAAAGGACGATTTTAGCGCGTCCGACTTTTTTATTTCCGTTTTTTTTGCCCGAACAACGAGTCAGCGGGGTGGGGGGCCCCCGGGGAGGCTTGCCCGCGCGAAGAAACGCCCCGTGCGCACCACCGTTGGGCGGTTGGAAGCCGCACACGGTCGCGGGGGTGGAGAGCGGAAACGGGCAGCCGGGGGAGGGTGGGGGCGGTTGGACGGGAGTGGGGTGTACGGGGGGCAGGGGAGTTGAGGGGGCAAGGGGAGGGGCAGCAACGGGCAGGGGCTGGGCCAGCTGAGGGCAAGGAAAAGGGGCGGGCAGAGGGTGAGCAGAGGGGCGAGCGATGCAAGGGATGCACCAGAGGGGGGGAATCCAGTTGAACGGAGGTGAGAGGTGAGGGGCGTGCGAGGGGGTGGAACAGGGGCAGGGAGGGGCAGAACGGGAGGATGTGGGTGGGGGGTGGGGGAGGGGAGTGTGTGTGTGTGTGTGTGTGCGAGAGAAAGAGAGAGAGAGAGAGAGAGAGAGGGAGAGGGGGGGGGGGGAGAAGGGTGGGAGGGGGGCTGGTGGTGGGGACGGGCTGATGGTGGTAAGAGGGCAGCAGGGATGGGGAGAAGGGAGCGTAACGAGGGGAAAGCAAAGGGCAGGGGGGGAGGAAGGGAGGGGCAGGGAGGGAAGAGGGTGAACGTACAAAGAGGGGAAACGAGGGGCATGGATGGTAGGAAACAAGGGCAGGGGTGCGGGAAATCAAGGGCAGGGAGGGGAGAAGCAATGGGTGCGGGGAGAACAAGGGAGGGGCAGAGGGGGTACAAGGTGATCTCAGGGAGGGAAGAAACGTGGGGCAGGGAGGGGAGAAACCAAAGACAGGGGCATGGGCAGGCGGGGGCAGGGAGGGAGCAAAGGAGAGGCACGGAGAAAGAAAGGGAGGTGCAGGGAGGGGAGAAACCGGGCGTGGGGGGGCGGAAAATGAGGGGCAGGGCGGGGAGGAGGGAGAGGCAGGGAGGGGAGAAGCTGAGCACACGGAGGGGGGAAAGGTGGGGCAGGGAGGTGGGAAGCCAAGGGCAAGTGGAGGAGAGTGGGGGGGCAGGGAGAGGGGGGAGGTGGGGAGCGGAGAAAGGCGGCGAGGGGCAGGGAGGGGAGAAACCAAGCGTAGGGGGGCGAGAAACGAGGGGCAGGGTGCGGATTGAGGAGGGGCAGGGAGTGGAGTGGGTTAGCGAGGGGAAGGAAGAGGCGTGCAGCAGAGGAGGGGAGGGGGGAGGCGAAGGTAAACGAGGGGAGGGCACGGGCGGGGAGGAGCGAATGGCGAGCGGTGGGTAACGGCGAGGGGGGCAGGGAGGGTCAAAAGAGGCGGCGAGGGAGCGGGCACGCGGAGGGTAGGGGCGGGGGGAGCGGATGGCATGAGGGGGCAGGGGGTGTGACTATGAAGGGGGGACCCGGGCAAGGGGTGTGTACCGGTCGGGGCACGGGATTGTCGTGGTACGATCATACCTCGGCTACTACGCCGGATCCCATCAGAACTCCGAAGCTAAGCGCCGGTGGGCGAGAGCAGTACTGGGCTGGGTGACCTCCCGGGAAGTCCTCGTGTTGTACCCATTTATGCCCCTTGCTCGGCACGTGCCGGGGAGGGGCAAGCGGGGAAAAAACAAAGGACGATTTTAGCGCGTCCGACTTTTTTATTTCCGTTTTTTTGCCCGAACAACGAGTCAGCGGGGTGGGGGGCCCCCGGGGAGGCTTGCCCGCGCGAAGAAACGCCCCGTGCGCACCACCGTTGGGCGGTTGGAAGCCGCACACGGTCGCGGGGGTGGAGAGCGGAAACGGGCAGCCGGGGGAGGGTGGGGGCGGTTGGACGGGAGTGGGGTGTACGGGGGGCAGGGGAGTTGAGGGGGCAAGGGGAGGGGCAGCAACGGGCAGGGGCTGGGCCAGCTGAGGGCAAGGAAAAGGGGCGGGCAGAGGGTGAGCAGAGGGGCGAGCGATGCAAGGGATGCACCAGAGGGGGGGGAATCCAGTTGAACGGAGGTGAGAGGTGAGGGGCGTGCGAGGGGGTGGAACAGGGGCAGGGAGGGGCCAGAACGGGAGGAGTGGGTGGGGGGTGGGGGAGGGGAGTGTGTGTGGTGTGTGTGTGTGCGAGAGAAAGAGAGAGAGAGAGAGAGAGAGAGAGGAGAGGGCGGGGGGGAGGGAAGGCGTGGGAGGGGGGCTTGTTGGCTGGTGTGCCGACGGGATGATGGTGGTAAGAGGGCAGCAAGGGATGGGGAGAAGGGAGCGTAACGAGGGGAAAGCAAAGGGCAGGGGGG